AGTCGAACATGTTTTCACATGTTGTTTTATTGGCTATTTATATCTGTTTTTCTGTGTCAAGCCCTTTTATTGTCCTTTGTTTTCATTGGTTTGTTTCCCTCTTTGTTACTGATTTTAAAAATTATTTATACATATTTATTCTTTATGTATTGCATCTATGCGTATATATGTATATGAATATATACATACATATATCTATATAATACATGTTTTAATGGGTCTTCTAGTTTGTAGCTTTTCTTTTCACTTAGCTTATATTGTCTCTTCAACAGAAGTTCTTAATTTTAATTTATCATTCCTTTACAGTGTGTGGTTTGAGAATCGTGCTTAAGAAATATCCTAAAGGTCATAAAGATATTCTTCTATATTTCTTCTAAAATTTTGAAAGTTTTGCTCTTTAGGTTAAAGTCTCTAATCCATCTGTCAGTTTAAGAAATTAAGATGTGTTGAATCTCATGTAAAATACATGTAGAGTTCACATGTTTGCTTGAATACCTATTAAGGCTGTGATGCCGAAAGTATGGTAAATGTTGCCTTAAGTAATAAGGTATTTTCAACAGTGGAAAAAAGAAAATAAACATACAAGGTGTTTTACATTAATAATAGCTATTTTAGGAGATATGTTAAATTTTTTTTCACAGTCTTGACCTCAGTTGTGGGTGATAGTTTGCCATTGTGATAACCTTTAAATTATAGACCACTGATTTCTGACTGAACTGGGATGAATACTTGAGTGTGGCTATATAAATAAGCAGATCCCCGAATTAAGAGGTTAGTCATTTTTGATACACATGATATACTTTTTGATACATAGGATATATAAGATGCATAGATATTTAAGATGTAGAAGAGCCCTTGAAGTCTGTGATGACTGCTGGTCTTTATCGTGAGCTTGCCAGTGCTGTGACCTTTCTGGATGTTCAGGGAGGGCCTTGTTTGTCCAACATCAGTATTATACCACCTGCTACCCCATCTTCGTTTGTTGCCATCCAGTTTGTGGTATCCTAGGGAAGAAGTAAAATCAGCCTTTCCATGTGAGCAATTTGTACCTGTAGATAGACCTTGAAGTGAAGATAAAATAGATCAACTTTAATTATCAGAGAGCAGTTAATGTGCTTGGTCATCAGCATTAACTTGAAGATAACATCTGTGGTAAAATATTATAACTAGGATGAAACATGACCTCTGGAAATTAGTACTTTTTAAAGTGTTGTTTGTTATGGAACATAGTAAGTCAATAAGTACCTGCCAGGGCCATCTGGCTGGCTCGGTTAATAGAGCATATGACTCTTGATCGCACGGTGGTAAGTTCAAGCCCCATGTTGGGTGTGGAGCCTACTTAAAAAAGACACACTTAAAATATTTAGAAGATATATAAAATATATATAAAATGTATGTATAAAAAGGTACCTGCCAAAAAATCTCAAAATAGATACTTTAATTTAGAATTGGATTGTGGAATGGGATACAGAAATTGTATTTGTAACAGAAAAATAAGCAATTTTATCTCATAAAGTTGTTTTTTTCCCCTAGAAAAAGAACCTGTTTTCCAATGAGATGATGCTTGTTGATAAATAAAATTATGAATGTCTTTGAAAATCTTTCTTTGAAAACACAGTATCAATATACCTAATTTAATAAAATATAAAAGCAAATAGTAAATACTACTTGGTTTGCACTTTTGGTATATAATCATAAAACTGAGGGATAGGTGTCCTAACTAGTCTTTAGTTGTTTGGTTTTGATTTTAGAGGAGCCACAGAAATTTTGTAACGGCAGATACCATTTGAAATTTTCTTGTGTATTAGTAAGGTAGTTACAGGGAAGTTTTGTGATACATTTATGATCATACTAATATTTTCAGCTGTGCTATGTAGTGAAGTAATGTAAGTAGAGAACAAACTTGAATAAAATCACCCAACAGCCCAGTGTGTGTCTATGGATTTTATCCCTCCTGGGAAAAGTGAAACTTAGAGCATAGCTGTCCTCTGTCACCTAGAGTCCTCCAGAATAACCATTGACAGGGCTTCTGCATTTAAACCACAGGATATAAAATAAATGGATAACCTCTGTAGTTTGAGTAGAAAATACAAGTGTTCATCATCTGATAGCGGTTTCTGGTATGAAATAGACACTTGAATTTTTATTTAGTTTTCAGTCTTTTCACTGCTCAGTGTTTTAAGAGAAGAAATTCTGTACTTACTATATAGATCCTGTACATTTAGTATGTTTTCTGGCATTCAATAATCTACTACTGGTAGCAATAGAATAGTAGGGAGAGAGTTTATTTCGATCTGTTTTAGGCATTCATAATCTTTGGCTCTCTACATGCAGATATGATAGACCATTCAAATATTAAGTAGTCTCTTTCTCTTTTCCCATTTGGAGGGGCCATTAACATTTCCATGGAATTTGTCTACCACTCTGAGTATAATGGTGAGGTTGTTTTCTTTCTATCTGCTTAATTAATATAATCAATAATTTTTATCTTAATAGGGACTATGGTGAATAATGATGGAACTCTGACTTATTTTTCATTGACAATTTACATTTGAGAATGGAATTGGTATTGGTGTGTAGTAAAACATGCAGTGACTTAGGCATGAGAAATATTGGTTAATTTTGTCATTAAGATGGGTAATATTGGGGTGCCTGGGTGGCTCAGTGGGTTAAAGCCTCTGCCTTCTGCTCAGGTCATGATCCCAGGGTCCTGGGATCAAGCCCCGCATCGGGCCCTCTGCTTGGCGGGGAGCCTGCTTCCTCCTCCCTCTCTCTGCCTACCTCTCTGCCTACTTGTGATCTATGTCTATCAGATAAATAAATAAAATCTTTAAAAACAAAAACAAAAGATGGGTAATCTTGGCTAAGTCATTCAAAGTTAGCAAGTCTCAATTTTCTGTCTGAAAGTGAAGGTGTTGAACTAAATGATTGCCAAGAATTCTAATTCTTACATGAACATGTATAGAAACTGGCATCATGCAGAACTTTAGTAAATACTCTAAGCAGTATATGTGTCTGTATGTGTTTGTGTGTTTACTTTGGAATTTTTGTCAATGTGTGTATATGTGTTTTCTTATTAAGGATGTTTTTTGTTTGTTTGTTTGTTTTACAAAAAAATCAGATTTATTTTAAAGTTACAAGTTAAAACAGTTTCAAACTCATTGAATACATTCTTAACAATTCTGTTTTAGAGGTTTTTTTTTTTTTTAATTTAGCTTAAGATCCCTTTAAATTACTCTTAGGATCTCTTTAAATTATACTTATAAATTTAGTATTCATTTTTAAATACTTAGATTATCTAATAAATCTTTCCAAGTACTAAACTTCTCTAAACCTTATATTTATGGATTTTTCTAAAATTTTAAATACAGTTTGGATTTTAAAGTCATAAACCTAAGTCATTCAATGACATTTAAATTGAATTCACAGGTTTAATTAATTAATTAATTTTTAAAAGATTTTTATTTATTTGACAGAGAGAGAGAGCACAACTAGGCAGAGAGAATGGGGAAGCAGGCTCCCTGCTGAGCAGAGAGCCTGATGCAGGGCTTGATCCCAGGACCCTGAGATCATGACCCAAGCCAAAGGCAGAGGATCAACCCACTGAGCCACCCAGGCACCACCACGGATTTAATTTTTTAACATGAAGGTTTCCTTAATCCAAGTTTTAAAAGTACCAAATATATACCTATTATGCCCACATGCAACTCAAAAGTAGCAAACTGTGGGCTTTATTTACTTTTGTTTTTCCCCTCCCAATTCCAACCCACTTTCTTTCCTTCTCTCTCCCTACAAAATAACTTTTTTTTTTTTTTTAATCTTTTATCATGTTTGTATTCTGAACCTACCTGGTTCACCAGGATCTTTTTAGTTTTACCATCTCAAACAATTCGAAGTAACATTTCCAAGCAAATTTGGAGCCATGTTCTCAGATGACTGGGGTTAAATCTTATGAAATTTGGAGCTACAAACACTGGGAGTGATTTGTATCTTATGAAAATGGGCATAAAGTGTCTGGTTTTATAGTCTCTGCCAGTGGTGGCCCTGAGGCCATGCTTTCCAAATGGGGTGGTCGCTGTGCCTGTCACCCCTGGATCCAGGTCCACATCAGTAGATCCTCAGGTATGATGGGTCTGCAATCCTCATGCCCAGGAAGCTTCTGTGTTTTTTTCAGTTAATCTGTTTCTTTTTGCTTGATTTGTTCTGTATTCTTCTTTAATTTGTCAGGCTACAATTTTCAAGTATTTTAAAAGAAGACATAATTGGATTTTGCATGTCTCCCATGTCTTATCTGCATTTTCAGTCATAGTTCAAAGGTTATTCTTCTAACAGTTTTAACTAGAACAACTTTCTAGAACCCAAAGAATGTTTATATCCTAAAGATATAAACTCTCTGGAAGAGAGTTCCAGAGAAATATAAATGGGGCTTATATATATTTGGACCACAATCCTGTCTTACTCGTGTATTATGTAATGTGATACCTGACTCTCCAGCTGTATCATAAGCTTTTAGGCATGGACTTTATACTGTGCTCTCCAGTGGAAACGTAACTCGTGCAAGCCACATATGTAATTTAAAATTTTCTAGTAGCCACATTAAAAATAAATAAAAAGAAACAGATGAGAATAAGTTTAGTAGTGTGCTTTACTTAATCCAGTATAATCTAAACATTATTTTGACATGTAATCAATATAAAATCGAGATATTTTACACTCTTTTTTTGCATACTGTATCTCCAAAATCCAGTGTTATTCTTAGAGCACATCTCAGTTCACACTAACCATCTCTCTGATGCTCAATCGCTGCGTGTAGCTCGTGGCTACTATCTTGGGCTGTCTGTCTTACAGTAAGTGCTGTCTTACACTTTTATAACTTAGTGCTAGTAACATCATTGCCCTTTTGCGTGTGTGTGTGTGTATCATTTTAGTTACAGATTTCTCTAATTGAATAAAATATAAAATATTTTTTAATGCCTATCTTTATTTTCTTTCTCTCCAAGGCTCTTCCTTCTTCCATGATTATCGTAGCAGTTTACTGTCCTGTGATAGCCGCTGTTTTCGTTGTTCTGAAAATGGTCAACTACCGACTCCACAGAGCCCTGGACGCCGGAGAAGTCGTAGAGAGGAACGCGCATGAGTTCTCGGATCAGCGAGCTAAGGCTGAGCAAGGCAACTGCTCAACCAGAAGAAAAGACAGTAATGGACCGAGGTAAGGAAACCCATGGCACTCAGTTTGTAAGGATGTGGGTCACGCTTGTGTACAATGATGGGATTCTTGTGTTGTGCCTCGGTTTTGATATGTGAGTTTAAGGCAGTTACAGATCTTGCCACAAGAGGTAACAGGACGGGTACAGATGATCACATTAGACCCCAGCAAAGCTCACAGGCATATCTGAGGGATTAAGTAACTGTCCTGGCTTTGTTACTAAATAACATGCTAGACCAGTAAAAGTTATAATTGTAAAATAGTTATTCACACCAAGACCAAAACCAGTGAAAAACAGTGTGAAGAAGTAATTTTAAAGCATGGCTTATAAATCTTAGCATTTATATTTTATTTATATGTATAAGTAAAATGTGTTAAGCAAATTGTGATAATATTTTACTTGACATTTTTAATCTGCATTTTTCATTTAATCTATTGTAAATATTTTTCAGTTATATATTCTCACCTTAGAAACTTTGCTGTTCCTTCCCTCCATCTTTGTATAACTGACCTCTTAGGATTCAAGTTTGTGTAGATGTTGCCTCCTCCTAGAGGTTTTCTTTCCCTTCCCAGACAAATATTCCTCCTGTGGCTCCCAGTCACATTTCTCGTCATTGCCTCGGCCTCATCCCCTTTCTCTTGTTGACCAAAAGATTTATTTCATTCATAGTAAGAAGTTTATTATGATTTCATAGAAATGATAGGTACCACTAATAATAAGTCTTCAAAAAACAGTTACTATATGAACACTTATTGTGTGTAATTGTCCTTAAAACAGTTCTGTGAGATAGATACTATAGTTATTCCTGATTTATAGATGAGGAAACTAGAGTGAGAAGGAGGAAATATTCTAGGGACTCTGATCTGGAGTCCATGTTTTTAACCGCTCTGAGATGTTTCCACTCAGTATAATATGAAAAGTGGGTATTCTTCTTTTAAGGTAGGTAATGTTTCTGTTTTCCAGTACATTGAGTTTATCCCTTTTCATTTACACTTTTCTCCACCCATAACATGATTACACTGTTTGTTCATTAGCAAATATTCATAAGATTATATCATAATGTTCATAACATTAATCACTACTTGAAATTGTCTTACTTAGTCATTTGTTTGCATTATATGTTTCTTGAAGGCAGGGGCCTTGTTTTTCCTGTGAACTATTTTATTCCCAGGTTCTAAAGCAGAGTCACTGATAGATTCTCAGAAAATATTTGAAGTAGTGAAAACATTTTTTCTGCATACTATTTTTTTCTATTTTTAATAACTGTACAGTATTCCATTTTGTAGGTATGTCATAATTTAACTTTTGATATTAGTTACTTTATTTTCAAATTTAAATTTGTATGTTAGATCACTGTGATGTTTAAAATTTTTTTTTTAAGATTTTATTTTGGGGATGCCTGGGTGGCTCTGTTGCTTAAGCGTCTGCCTTCAGCTCAGGTCATGATCCCAGGGTCCTGGGATCCAGCCCACATTGGGCTCCTTGCTTAGTGGGGAGTCTGCTTCTCCCTTTGCCTGTCACTTGCTGGCTCGCTCTGTCTCTGAAAAGTAAATAAAATCTTTAAAAAAAAAAAAAATTTATTCAATGGTGGGACTCGAATTCACAACCCCAAGATCAAGAATTGCACAGTCTACCAACTGAGCCAGCCAGGTGCCCCTGGGATGTTTTCATTTTTAATGATTAAAATTTTAATTATAATTATAATTTGGCAGAGGTAAAATACTAGCAAGCTATACCCATTTTTAAGTTTTTCAGTATATATCGCCACATTCCAAAGATTAACCTTCTAATTACCACTGTCAACAATTTGAGGGCTGCTTTTTCTGCACATTGACAACATTGAGTGTTTGGTATTTAGACAAAACTGTGGTAGATAGCTCACTGTTTAATTTTTAAGTTTTTGGATTACTAGTTAAAATGGATGTATTTTTCTTGTGTTATTATTGTTACATATTTACTTTGTGAATTGTTCATTTTTCTGTTGGTGATTTTTGCTGTTTATTTGGAGAAGGTATTTATGAAGGATTTTAATTCTTTATATTTTGTGTCAAATAATTTATAGCATTTTATTTATTTATATGCCACAGTTTATTTTTGTGCAGTCTATTCTGTGAATGTTTTATTAGTTTTGCCTTTGATACCAAGTTGTTTGAGATTTTTTTCTTCCCCCATATTATATAAATGTTTGCCTGTGTCTGCTTTGCTTTCGGCATTTTTTAAATTTTTCATCTTAAATTGTAGTCAAGCTGAAAACATTCTTTTTTTTTTTTTTTTTTTTATGTTAGTCCCAACACTATTGAGTGAATAATGCATTTTCCCTCAGTAATTTTAAATACTTTCCTTTTCATGTAGCATAAGCATGTATACTTATATCAATTTCTGGGCTTTGTTTTCTGACCCATTGATCTCTTTCTCTTTTGTTTATACCATACTGCTGTTTGTTTTGTTTTGTTTTGTTTTTTATTTTGTACTGTTTTATGGCTTACTAATATGCTTATTATTTAGCACTGTGAATCCCTTTTCAGTACTTTTCTGTTGGAGTGTTCTCTTAGTTCTTCTCATGCGTAAATAGCGACTCCTGAACAGTGAGGGGTTATAGGGGCACCAAGCCCCTTCCCCTTCCATGTATGGGGGCCCCTGGGTGGCTCAGTCGGTGAAGCATCTATCTTCGGCTCAGGTGATCCCAGGGTGCTGGGATCAAGCCCCGCTGAGCAGGGAGCCTGCTTCTCCCCCTCCCTCTGCTGCTGCCCCTCTTGTGTTCTCTCACTCTCACGCTCTCTCAAATAAATAAAATAAAATAAAATAAAATAAAATAAAATAAATCCATGTATAACTTTTGACTCCTCTCCCCCCACTTAACTACTAATAGCCTACTGTTGACTAGAAGCCTTACTGGGAACATAAACAGTCAACTAACACATGTTTTATATGTCATATGTGTTATGTATGTACTGTGTTCTTATAATAAAGTAAGCTAGAGAAAAGATACTGTTTTTAAAGAAAATCATAAGGACGAGACAATACATTTACAGTACTGTAAAATGTAGAAAATCCACATGTAAGTGGACCTGCGTGTTTCAAACCTGTGTTGTTCAAGGGTCAACTGTACATAGTTTTTTGTGAGATGCCCCTTTTGCTCATCCTCCAGAAAATTCCATTAAACTTGATAAGTATATTCAATATGGAGAAAACTTAACCTTTAAAATATGAAGTCTCATCTGGGACATGGTGAATATATCCATTTTTTTACCTGTCTCATAAAATTTCACATATTTTCTATGGGTTCTATGTATTTCTTAAGTCTATCTTATTTTTATTAGGAAATACATACCCTTGTATCATGAGTAAGCAGACAGAATGTACACTCTGCACTTAATCTGCTAGGGCTTGAATCACTTCCTGACTGTATGACCTTGGGGGGAGTTACTTAAGCTTTTTATGCCTTGGCTTTCTCACCTGAATGATGAGGCAAATAAATAAAATAATATTATAAATAAATGAATAAATAAAATTAGAAGTATATATATATACTAAATATAAATATGTATAATACATATAAATAAATAAATATAAAATAGATAAATAAAAATACTATATCTTTTTTTTTTTTAAAGATTTTATTTATTTATTTGAGAGACAGTGAGAGAGCATGAACGAGGAGAAGGTCAGAGGGAGAAGCAGACTCCCAGTGGAGCTGGGAGCCCAATGCGCGGGACTCGATCCCAGGACTCCGGGGTCATGACCTGAGCTGAAGGCAGTCGTCTAACCAACTGAGTCACCCAGGCTTCCCCCAAAATACTGTATCTTATGATACAGGATACAAAGAATGGATGAGAGATAATACATATAAAGCATTTAGAACCATTCCTTTTCTTTTAAGGGGAGGTGGGGCAGAGGGCAAGGGAGAGAGAATCCTCAAGCAGATTCCTTGCTGACCCAGAGCCCAAGGACATGGAGCTTGATCCCAGGACCCTGAGTTCATGACCTGAGCCAAAGGCAGACACTTAACCAGCTGAGCTACCCAGGTGTCCCTGTGTTTTTAATTCCTTTCCTTTCATTACTGAATTCTTCTTCCATTTTCTTTCAGTTTAAAATTTAAAATTAAAAAATTTTTATTGTGAAATGTATATATTCCTAAATAGCTTATCAATCATATCATTCAGTATAATTTAGAGAATAATAATAAAGTGACTATTTGATTACCCACCACAAAACTTAAGAAATAGGTTATTATACCAATACCGTACAAGCCTTTACATACCTCTTTCCCATTTCATTCTGTTTTCTTTTTCCTTCAAGAATGATCATTATCTTGAATTTTATGTTAATAATTCCCTTGCTTTTCTTTCTTATCCAGTCTTTGTAAATATTACTAAACATATTAATTTTAATCTGCCTTAGGATATCCCAAAGAGAATAATACTATATGTATTCCTCTATGAGGTGTTTTTTGGTCCAAAATATTGTATTTTATTGGCTTATTTATGTTGATGCTTATAGCTTTCATTTATTCATATTTACTGTTGTACAGTCTACTACTGTGGGAATAGACTACAATTTACTTGTTCATTTTATTTATGTGTTCTAAAGACACATTATGTGTTTCTTGGTACACAAGATATCTAGTGAATATAAACTGATTCATAGGGTATTTTCATGTTCAGTTTTATTAGATAATTCCAGCCTGTTTGGGACTTTATATTCACACCATTAGTATGTGAAAGTTCTTGTTGTTCCATATCTTCATCATTATTTGGTTTTGATAAGCCTTAAAACTTTGCCATTCAAATAAGTGTTAAATGTGCCTCATTGGGACTTTCAGTTAAACTTTCTGATTACTAATGAGGTTGGGCATCTTATCATACATACTTGGTCCATTTAGTTTTTCTGTTCTTTCAAGGCCCGTTCATGTCTTGTTTCATTTTTCTTTGGACTTGTGTTTTTCTTATTGAACAGTAGGAATTTTAAAAGGAAATTCATGATACTACTACTTTATCGGTTA